GCGTAGTTTGGAATACAACGCGTCACCCGAGACGGCGTTTTCTTCGGCCGTCAAGGTCAGATTGGACTGCTTCATGGCTGCAACCGACGCAAGGACAAAGGCTGTCAACTTCATGTTGGTAAAGATGGTGCCAAGTCAGTGAATTGGAATGTGATGGTTGGGGGGTCACAAGACATGGATTTGCCCTGCTATGGAATGTACCAACGATCCAGTTCATTCTTCACCAATTGTGTGGCATTGTAAATACACCATGGACGATCGCTCATGCGTTCCTATCATTGTAGAAATAGGACAATATCACATGGATATCGTATCGGAGTGGTGTGGAACTCTCAAAGTTTGAGAACCACGTTCGAATTTATGTCTTTGTCATCCAACACAACACCAGAGTACCTACGCACAATTCATGTACGGCGTACAAATTTATAGAGGGGTTCAGCCTGTTTCAAATCAAAATGCCACGAAGAACGTCGTACACGGCTGACGTTGTGGTTATGGCCACAGCAGACGTAATCTCGAAGAAGCTAACAATCCCTGCTGCTGCAGACGCATATTCGATTCCTCAGCGATCGCTTCGCACACACGTGGCGAATGCTAAACGCATGGACACTGCAGCCAACACGATGGGACCACCGGCGATAGTCCCATCGGCAGTACGAAGACGACCTCGTCACATTGATTCTAGCAATGGGGCGCGACAGCCAACCTGTGAAATCCTAGACAAGGTGGCCGCAATGCCACCATCTCATCGTCTGATTGCTACGCGCCAAAGGCTTGCCATGCAGTACATATATATTTTCGATTGCCGAGCACCGAATCAAGCGATATACAACCTGTAAATATTTATTACTGTACACAAGTAATATTGCTCTATAAATTTATAATTGCATATCTCAAAAGCCGAAAATATAACATAATTTAAACCAGTTTAAAATTGGGCTAACCACTGATCGCTTGTTTGAGCGACAAACTTTGTCATTTTTATTGCACTGATTAAAACTCTTTAAATCGGATGATGGGGTAACGCTTAAACTAGGGAATTCGACACTGCCTCTTTTACGGTGTGGCCATTTGAACTTCACGAGATATGGTCGAATGAATGCAGGTCAAATTCGGCTGCTCACTGATCCGTCACGTTAGGAACGTATGAGCGATCATCCATGTTGTGTCCACAATGCCACACAATTGGTGAAGAATGAACTGGATCGTTGGTACAATCCATAGCAGGGCAAATCCATGTCTTGTGACCCCCCAACCATCACATTCCAATTCACTGACTTGGCACCATCTTTACCAACATGAAGTTGACAGCCTTTGTCCTTGCGTCGGTTGCAGCCATGAAGCAGTCCAATCTGACCTTGACGGCCGAAGAAAACGCCGTCTCGGGTGACGCGTTGTATTCCAAACTACGCGGCAACCCCCAGTCACCCCCCCCGTCCAGGTCGAGTTCCTAATCCTCCCCGTCCAATCCATCCATGCGGGATACGCCGGATATCCTATCGATGATCCAGGGTTTCCTACCGATGATCCTATCGATGATGCCGAGAACTCAGTCCAGGTCGACTGCCGAACCCATGACGTCCATGTCCAAGTCTGGCTGCTCCGACTGCGACGCATGCTATTACCCCGGTGGGAACTCGTGCTTGCGTGTCTTTAGTCAAGAAGACTGCAACTACTACAGTGACAAGTACGGCACCAAGTGGTGCGCCAACTAGGTGCTCGAGCTGTTGGATTTGTAGTGAGATTTAATCATAACGTTACTGTATGCAGTTCTTCGTACTTGTTGACACTAGAGGTGCAAGCGCATTGATGCGTGTTTTCAAAATAACGTTAGTAAGTAACGTTACCACAGGTAACCACCTCGCACATACTACAGTATGTCCGAGAAGAATTGTTGGATTTGCTTACTTGCTTTAAGTATACTTGCATAACCTCTATATTTTAATTTTCGCCAATACGGTAACTCTTTCCAGTGGAAAGAGTTTGTTGGGCGGCGCCCTGGTCGTTGACCATGCTGGCAAACTCGGCAACTCTTCAAGCCCCCATAACATCTCAGTTGACGCCACTACAGACACATGTGCAGCGGAACGAGGTCGTCGCCTATCACTTCAAGAAGCTCCCCGTGCGTCAGTGGTTTGGCTGCCGTGGATGTGTTAGGCGACGTGTTGAGATCGTGTATACACATCACTTATGTTAGTGACGTTGTGGCTCTAAGTTACAATGTCTCCACAATGTGGATGGCGATAGGGTGACGGACCAGGATGCCAATATATGAAAATGACCGACGAATGAACGACGGCCACGACATCCCTGTCGTACAGCTCCGCAACGTTCCATCGAAGCAAGAACAGGCGACCTCCGACACCTCATATACGATCTTCATGAGGTGTTGGAGATCACCTATTCTTACTTATATGGATGGCACCATCGTGCGAAGCCCACAGCTCGTTATGACCACCTGTTTTCGCCCCCGTCGTTATCCGGACAGGAACCTCTTGCGGAGGCCGAATTAAATTTCAAACCGACGTCTCTTACTACGTACTTCGAAGTAGGGCTTTCTGCACCGCCATGCAGAACACTTCCCCCCTAAAGGGAGTGTCCGAGAGTCTTCTCGACTTCCGCGGCCATTTTCTTCACTTGTTCTTGGTCTTCATATCGGTGAACCCAGCGGCCGAAAACGATGGGAATATCGTTATAGAGAAAGCGCACGGGCTCCCATGAGGCTTCTTCTCTTCATCGAGGCCAAGCCAGTAGACGAGGGCTTGGTATTCGCCGTTTTTTCCATGGACGTCGCCGACCTTGTCCACGTTGAACCCTTTATTTCCAAAGGCAATATGGTCGACAAGGTCTTCGATCATATCGCGACCGCCTTCACAATACATCTTGAGTCGGCAGGCGTGGTGGTGAGACAAGTTGTAAGGCTGTTTCAAGTGCTGGGTCTCACATAGTCTGTCACGACCTGGAGGATCTTGCTTGGGCCATGCCAGTGCAGGCAAAACTTCTTCACTTGGCGGGATACGTCGTCAACGAGGACAGAGTCGTCTATCGCAAACGTCTGCAACTGGACTCTTGCTTGGGCCATGCCAGTGCAGGGATAACTTCTTGACTTGGCGGGATACGTCGTCAACGAGGACAAAGTCGTCTATCGCAAACGTCTGCAACTGGACGGCCTTGGACTTGGATTGGCGTTGCCGTGTGGTCGCTTGTCTCGCTGTGCAAAGTCGCAAGAACCTGCTCATGTCGTCCTTGACGACGAGGATCTTCTGCCACCCGTTAGTTGCCGTGGGAATGGATAGCCAGTCGAAGTGGATCAGATTTTGGGACATGGAGCGCCGATCCAAGCGGGCACGGGACCACTGAGTCGTCGACGCCGAGGCAGCAGGTTTGGACAAAGGTTTTGACATCGACTTTGAGGGTGCTCCAGGCGAAGCCATCGCGGACGGCCTTGGTCGTGGCTTCGATTCGACGATGGCCCACGGCGCCTTGGTGCGCTATGATGCAGACCCGCTGCTGAAGGTCCGTGGCACTTTGTGGGATCCAGATGCGGTCTTCCTTGTTGAGGAACAGGTTCTTGTTTTCATTGCACGCCTCGCCGGCTGGCGGGGTCTCTCCCCTCTTCACGACCACTTGTTGGGTCAAGACGATGCCGGCAGGGCTGGGCCAGTCGAAGTGGGGCTGCTGCAGCGGCGACACCATGACCAGGAGGCGCCGGACGGACCTTGTTGGCACTTGGGCTTGGGCGGCGCCCCAGCGACTGAGCAGGTCA